CAAATTCCTTAAAATTTTCAAAGAAATCCGCACAAACGTTCTCTCGTAAAAAATGAAATTGCCCAGTTAAAATTGGCAATAGCTGACGTGGCTTGGTTCCTTTCTGTTAAACGCGGTCCATTTGAAACTCTGGAAAATTATTTTCCTTTCCCCAAGAAAACCCCGGGAAAGTGGGAGAAAACTTCGGTTTCTTATCCAGGAATGAGTTCCTGAAAATCAGGGAAAAATCTTGCCATGCTTCCCCGTTGGCAAAAAAGTCGTGGGGGCGTTGCGGAACTTTCGGATCATCCTGTAGAGCAGTCGCAAAGTTGCGCCGAAATGAAAACGCGAGCGCGGCAGACGCCGGGGCGGGGCGGGGAGAGGGGGGGGCGGGGAAATAAAAAAAGCTGAAAAGCCAATTGATGAGCGGCCGCGGCCTTATTATCTCGACAAACGACGGCGGAGATAACTACTACAATGTCTCCGCTCCGTCGGTGCATGAATGAGCTGAAAATCATCGCTTTTCCCCCAATTAAACTCGTATTAAATATGCCGATTTTATCGCCCCACCCGACAACCTTGCTCCGCGTGCGACCGCGCTTCGCGGTGAATCGATCGACCCGCCGTTTAAACCTGTAAACAGGATCGATTATCGAGATTCACGTTAATAATCGATTGTTTATCGTAGTTGTAAACGGGGCCATTCGAGAGGATCGATGCTTCGTAATTATTGGGAGGCGGAATGAAACAGTGAAGCCGAATCCCAATCCGCGGCTTAAACCGTCCTCCGCGCTTAGGGAGAAACGTCGTATGAGCATTCAGACGTTGCCACATTTCTTGCAGTAAAAAACTGATTTCCAGGGTAACTTCTGGATATTTTTCTTCCGATTTTTATGGGAATTATATTCGCAGTATGATCTTTTGTGTCGAAAAAGTTCAAAGAAGAATGGGTGTCAATACAAGCCCGGAAAGTCCGGAAATAGTACTGATTTTTTAAGGACGGCCCGGCAGCAGTACTGAAAAAGTGCGGAAATTCCGCTAAAAGTTCCGGAATATTTTTTAAATTTTTGTCATTTTTGTCGCAATTTCAAATTTTTGGAATTTTTCTAATTTCGTCGAATGGAGGTACTGAAAAAGTACGGAATTTTTCTGCTGGAGGAGGTACTGAATTTCTCGAGAATGTACTAAAAAAGTACTGTAAAAGTACTTATTTTTGACCAGCCTGTTTTAGTAGACACCCTGAATACGCATTTTTTGTCCTCGGTACAGGGGCGGAGCGTGAATAACCTATTTTCGATATCTCTTTATTTGAAGCAATGATTAAGAATCGATTATCAAGGTGTCCGTTGCGAACACCTTGTTCGTCGATCCTTTTCCCAGGGTTGCCACAGTCAGAGAATACCAGGATAGCTGGAAAATGTCAGGGAATTTTATGAAATCAGGGAAAACGTGGAAACGTCAGGGAAAATGACGAAAATGCCAGGGAAAAATTATCAAGTCATATTTATTTGCTTTTTAGTGTAGGTTTGGCGTTTCGAACGACAAACTTAGCTTGAAAACTATTTCTAATTATGTTTTTTTAACCATCTGGCATATCTTCAATTGTCAGGGAATTCCACCAAAATGTGTCAGGGAAATGTCAGGACGTTTCATTTTCTAAATCCTGCGGCAACCCTGACCTTGTCAATCGATCCCATTCCATAGGTTTCAGGGAATGTTAAAAAGTCAGGGAAAATGACGAAAACGTCCGGGGGAAATTATGAAGTCACATTTATTCCATTTTTCACCTTTTATTGGCATATTTTCAAATGTCAGGGAATTCCACCAAAATGTGTCAGGGAAATGTCAGGACACCTCATTTTCTAAATCCTGTGGCAACAAGTAGTTTCCTATAAGTTTAAGTGTCATATCAATCGATTTATCGCGTAGCACGCCACGCCACTGCCTCGAGAATAATGTTTATGCCGGGGGAAATTCGGCAACAGATGAAGGCGTATACGGGGTTCTTCCTACGGCTACGGCAGTATGTGGCTGGTAGGCAGCCCCCAAGGTTGACACTCAATACTCCACAGGATCGGGAGCAGGAGAGCTCGAGCGAACGAACGAGCGAGCGAGCGAGCGAGCGGTAGTAGTTGTCGAAGCCGAAACGACGAAACGATTCCGCGGTCTCCGATATGCCTCGCTTTTGTCGCCGCACAGTCCAACCAGTGCTGAAATTGATAGACAAAGCAATAGACAAAGAACATTCTCTTAAGAGTATGTAATTAGTATGGAACGATCCTATCGGTCAATGGAGATGTTGCCTGTGTGAGGGATTTGCGATTTAACCATTGATTCTTATTTAAAAGTTCGAGAGAAACACGATGGCGCCACTGGTTTTCTCTGAAATTAACTCCCAAGCTCAAAAAAAGCTCTCGAGTTGAGGCCAAAATGGAGGGGATATCCCACCCTACCCTAAGAGTCCACCTCTACATCAGGACAAACTCTCCATGCAAAGATAGGGAGCAAATACATTAGCAGTGATGTCGTGTTTTCAGTTTTGGAGTCCCCACATAAAGCGGCAGCCCTGTCAATGTAGGTATTTGCTCCCTATCTTTGCATGGAGAGTTTGTTTTGACGTAGAGGTGGACTCTCAGGATAGCGTGGGATATCCCCTCCATTTTGGCCTCAACTTGAGAGCTTTTTTGAGCTTGGGAGTTGACTTCAGAGAAAACCAGTGGCACCATCGTGTTTCTCTTGAACTTTTACATTAGAATCAATAGTCAAATCGCAAATTCCTCACGCATCCAACATCTCCATTCGCAGTTTCAATCAGAAGTTTCTTGTCCGAATTCTCTCGCCGACGCGTACTATTGTGTGTCGGTACGCTTCTCGCTTGCATCACGCACCGCAGATCGCTACCGTTCGCGCTCGGAGCTAGGAGGGGGAGGGGGGTGCCCTTCAAGTACTTTTACAGGATCGTCATTTCAACCGGAAGAAGTGGTCGGGGGAGGGGGAGGGAGATAAGTCGTCGGTAGGAGACGATATTTTCAAGGGCGTCATTAGAGTCAAATTTTAGGTGAACGGGAGGGGGGGAGTACTTAGGTGAGGCAAAACCGCAAAATTTACTGAGGAGGGACGCAACATTTTTGGGGAGGGGTAGGGAGGGTTTCGAAAGTCTCTAAATGAATCAGTGAGTTCGAAAACACACCAACTCGAGTTTTTTTCGATTTTCACTTTTTACGGTTTAGTAACACTTATGGATAGAAGCATCTGCACGCAAAAGGAAATTTTAAAATTGCAATCGGAAGTGCTCGAAACAGCAACGGGAAAAGGGAAGAATCGAAGTATTTCATCGGAAATACCAATTTTTGGCCATTTCAAGGGAAACGGATGACCATCCGATTTTACGGTTTTCTTTTTTCGGTTCAGTATACCTTGTACCAACAAGTAATATAAATATTCAAGCGTCCTTCAGGTCAAAAAATATAAATTTTTTTGGGCAGACTATGAAAAATCAGTATCTGTAAGTCGGTGAGAACGAAAACACACCAACTAGGAAATTACACCAACTAGGAACGCTTAATTCTCAGTCATCAAACACGGTGTATCGATTTCAACTTGGTGCTTTACAAAGTCTCTTAGTACTTGCCCTTTGGCACCAAAAAAGTTTTTCTTAAACTAACTTCCTCGCCCGCTGCGCAGTTTTAGGTGTTTCCTGAACAATTTTTTTTTCCCAGTTGGTGTGTTTTTGAACTCACTGATTCAAATATTCTCCCCTTCTAATATTGGACTTCATTTAGCAATCAGGAACTAAAATATCTGGCTCATCTGCAGAAACACTTATGTGCTTACGGAAACTACCGGCACAATTTGATCAAAATTGTTCCCAGAAAAGTCAACTTCAATTTCCGGGGGCGAAAGCCTTTCGGAAGTAGCCAAATAGTCTGCATTTTGTCATTGGGAATTGTAATTTCTCGTTCATCCGTAAAAACACGTATTGGCATAGGCGAGCTAATCGCACATACGATGTTTCATAACTGAGCCAGAAATTGTAGATCCTAATTACAAAATGTAGTCCTTTGTTTGGAGGTGAAAGGAAGGAGCGATAAACTTCAAAACACCTCCATTAATTGGACTCCATTTTGCAATTAGGAACTACAACCCCTGGCTCATTTGTACATACACTTATGTGCGTACAGAAACTGTGTTTGGCGCAATGCGTGAAGTATTCATGTAGTCTTGTAGGCACTGTGCGTTTCACGCCGCGCCGACTGCTGTTGACCCTACTGTGTTTGACGCTATGTGTGAAGTATTCATGCAGTCTCGTAGGCGCTAATATGTGTTACATGCCGACCGCCGCGTCGAGGGCTTCTCCTTTTCATCTTAAGTCCTCGTCATCATTTCTCTTTGCGCCGCGCCGCTCCAGGCCAAATTACATGTATTGATTTCTCTCTCAACTCAACTAATTAAAGGTACGCAGTCTTTTGTATCACCGAAATACGACAAAATTAGAAATTAATGAACTCTCAGGAAATGAGAGATTTTGTCACCTTTTCTTGTTTGTAATTTTTTTCTGAATCCGATTTTTTTGTACCTGCATTTAAAAAAATAGCAAAATTTGCCGCCCCCTAATTTTGCCGCCATGGGCCGCGGCCCATGTGGCATGTGGCCACCCCCTTAATCCGGCCCTGGCTCTTATCCATTAGTGCCCTGGAAATTTTCCAAGGGGGACCGAACTATCCGTTTACCTCAAAAAATGTCCCATAGATTACACTAGTCATTGTCGACAAATTTCGATGGGTTGCAAACGATTTCCTTGTTGTAAAACAGTGGTTGTTGTGGAATATTTATCACCTCATCAAAAAATTCTGACATGAACATGTGGACAAAGATTTTTGCGGGTCTAATGAAGATCCATTGTTCCTGAAATACTTAAATCACTTATTTAATTTTACAGGCATCACTTTTTGATAATTTTAATCCTCTAGTCAGTATTGTGCTACTCATAGCTTCATTATGTTTATTGTTCTGTGCTACAGGTGGTTTTGCTGTGGTTTTTCTCGTTAAGGGCAGCAAAGGAAAGCGCTTTGCCCTTAAGAGATTATTTGTCAATAATGAATATGATTTAAACATCGCAAAGCGAGAAATACAGATAGCAGTAAGTATTTCCGATTCTGTAATATCGTTTCTATTTCCTTGGGAAAATTGTATCTGAAAGGAAGAAAAAAAATGTATACCTCATGTCCAGGAGCTAAGCAAGAAACGATAATAAAGAACACCATGGGCAAGGTCAGCCACTTCAAAGTCAATGGATAGTGGATTCATAGAATCTTTCAAACTTTAAAATTAATTTTGCCATTTTTTTTTTCTTTTTTATTTTTGTTTTTACTCTAGATTCCTTTTGGCACAGGACGTATTTCAATATTTTTATTGAAATTCTGAGGCAAAAATAAAAAAAAGCTAATAGTGTCCAGGAACTATGCAAGAAATAATAATAAATAACACCCTGAACAGGACTAGCCATTTCTAAGTTAATGAATATTGAATTAATTGAATCACGCAAACTTCAAAATTAATGTCGCCATGCTGTCTTTTTTTTTCTTTTTTTTTTAAATTTTTACTTTAGCCTTTCATGGGTACAAGGCGTATTTTAATCTTTATATTGGAATTCTGAGGCATAAAAAATGAATTATCAAATTTAACTTATCTTTAGTGTCTAACCATAACAGTAAACCAGTCATATAACAGCTTTCTCTTCAAGCGTTTTTGAATATTATATTCAGGGTTAGCTAAAAATGTTATATTCTCTAGAATTGCAAATTATTCAAAGTTCTTTAATTTGTGCAAACGTGGTTGCAGATGATGGAAAAAATTGCCAGGCATGTTCGAGCACTGCATCGGAAGAATTGACTTTAAGTGAATGATTTGGTCGGCTTTTATAAAACACCTTTCTATGCATAAAAAATTCATCTCTCCTTTTGGATTTAAAGACTTTCAAGTCTGCATTTTCATCCAACCGATGAGAAGAAATGTTAGAAATCAGTGGCGTAGCGTGAATTGCGATATATTGATTGTTATACCATTTAAACCCATAGAATAGGATCAATAAACAGGATGCTTGCAGCGAACACCTTAATAATCGATTCTTTTCCATAGATTTAAATGGCAGAACAATCGATATATTGCAATTTACGCCACTCCGCTGTTAGAAATAATTTTGGTTCCAATATTCAGAGTCATTTTCTGTGTTGCAACAGTGAAGAAACTTGTCACTGATCTAATGCCCTCTCTCTCTTTGCAGAGTAATTTGAACGGCCACAAAAATCTTATCGGATTCGTAGATTCTAGCATTACGCAACAAGGCAATGGTGTGCACGAGGTCCTAATGCTGATGCCGTACTGCAAAACCAATCTCCTGAGCATGATGAACGCCAAACTCCAGTCAGGTTTCACCGAAGCAGAAGTCCTCAAAATCTTCTGCGATGTCTGTGAAGCTGTTTCTAGGCTACACCACTGTCAAACACCCATCATCCATCGGGATTTAAAGGTGCAGCTCATTTTCTTTCAGCTTTCTCTCCCATTTTCTGATTTTTTTGGGGGTAAAAACGTTTGATTAAGAAGAAGGTATACCGATGGCAAAATTCCCATACCATGTATCTTGGTTTGCGACGTTGTGGACTTCCTGCCACACTCCATTTTTTAAATGGAAAACAACTCAACAGCCAGTCGGAAAAACTGCCGTGATTCCTCCTCTACGTGCGACTAAAATTCTGTCAAGTTCAGCGAACATTGTATTACACAATATCTAAAAGGTAGTAGCACTGAATATATTGGTATGTGGAGTGTAGCCAAGTGTTAGAAATAATGTAACATTTTCTTTGAAAAAAACTTACATTTTATCAATAAACTTTGACGGAATCTTTTCGAAGCAAGAGCTTCATCGTCATGGTCATTAAGTATAAATCACAAACAAAGTATATTCATAAAATGTAAGGTTTTCCTAAGGAAAATGTTAAATTATTTCTAGCACTTGGCTACACTCCTCTTACCAACCAAAATTCTTTGAAAATTTCAAAGAATGATGTGGATTTGTTTGCTCTTTAAAATGTAAAATAGGAGCAGAGATTTTTAAACACTGCATACATGATACGTGGTTTGGCGTTTCACTGTCGATACGTTTATGGTTGCTGTCCCAGTTTGAAATTCATCACAGAGGACAGATAGCAGCTGTATATACGATATCGAAGGTGAAACTACCAGAACACGTATCTCGTTTGCAGTGTTTAAAAATCTCCACTCACATTTTTTTTTTTTTTTGAAGGAGATCAAATCAATATCATTCCTTACAATTTTCACAGATTTTTCTCTGCACAAAGAGGAAAAATCACGGAAGTTTTCACGAATTGACGTTGTGTAGTTTTCAATTTAAAAAATAAAGTATGGCAGGAAGTTTGCGACGTCGCAAACCGAGATATGTGGTTTGGTAGTTTCACCGTCGATATCTGTTTTCACCACACCTTTTTTTTAAAATTTAATTTAAAATTGTGTGTAAACTCTCTTGCACGATGATATGTTATAGAGCCAGATGTTTTTTGAACTGTACGGTTCATTATTGTTCACAACGTTGTTTGAATTGAACATATGGGTTAAATGGCAAAAATACAAATGACATCATCTGTATTATCCAATTTCTATTTGATCTGTGTTAAAAATAATTGTTAATATCTTGATCAGGAGTTGGTTTTCGAAATTCCTGCTGTGTGAATAGTTTTCTGCGTAAGATTTTGAAGAAGGAACATTCAATATTTTCTTTGTGTCCAGACCTCATCTAGTCGTCCATTCTGTTAAAATTTTGCCTGAATGGAGGTGGTTACATCTGTCGGTGGAAAATAAGAAGATGGAATCTATTGTAAAGTTTCTATTCATAATATTACCAGTTATACTTTTCTCTGAAAAAGAAGTTAAATTAGATGGTATCATCTTCACATCATCGATGGTTCACCGTCAAAATTTCCATACTCAAATCCAGCATCACTAACGATTTTTATTGTGTCACTCAGGTCGAGAATATTCTTCTAAACGAATCAGGGAATTATGTATTATGTGATTTCGGTTCCGCCACTGGCAAAGTGCTCAACCCGCAAGTTCAAAACGTTGCCTCAATACAAGAAGAAATCAACAAGTACACGACCTTATCCTACCGAGCTCCGGAAATGGTAGACCTTTACTCAGGAAAGCCAATCACGACCAAAGCAGATGTTTGGGTAAGTTTCCAGATTTGATAAAGTAGAAAACATTTCCAAGTTCTCACAAACCGATTGCGGCTGACGCATGAGTTGTATAGACAACAAGTTGTAAATGTAGCCAACGTACGTTAAAGTCCTCGTCAATTGTGCTCGGATGAGCTTTTTTCCTGTGTAATGAGATTTCCAGTTTTCTGGATTTTAAAGCATGTTAACTACATTTCCAACTCACTGTCTATTTCCAAGTTCTGTCTTTAACAATTTATCCTCTCATATTAGTCAAAAAAGTGATTGGTTTCTTATATCATTGTCGATTTTAGAAGAGCTTCATGCTATAAATTTTAAATTAAAATCTAGGGTGTCTACAAGTCCGGAATGTCTGGAAATAGTACTGATTTTTCAAGGGCGGTCCGGAAGTACTGAAAAAGTGCAGAAATTTCACAAGATAATCCGGAATTTTTTTCATTTTTGTTGTAATTTGAGCGAGAAATTCAAATTTTTCGATTTTCATCAGTTGAAGGTACAGAAAAAGTACTGAATTTTTCTGTTGAGGAGGTACTAAATTTCTTGGGAATGTTCTGTAAAAGTACTGCTTTTTGGCCAGCCTGTTCTAGTAGACACCCTGAAATCGTTTTTAAATTTGAATTCAAGCTTTTATATTGCAAGAAACTTTACTGTTGGTTTTTTTGACATCCTTTCCTAACATTTAATCCTTCTCTTTCTTAGGCATTGGGATGTCTACTGTACAAACTGTGCTTCTTTACTCTTCCATTTGGTGAGAGCACATTAGCGATACAAAGCGGACAGTTCACCATCCCTGATAATTCTCCTTTCTCAGCAAAAATGCATTCTCTAATTAGTAAGTACACCGTCTTCGGTTTTTCTTTCAATTCATCAAGGGAACCTATGTGCTCATTAAACATTTATCAAATAATGTGTGTGTTGTAACACTTTAGAGAATAGTTAAAAATAAGCAGAGATGAAATATCGATTGTGAAACCGCAGGAATGCAATGTTGCAGATTTCCTGTCGTACGCCATTTTTTACATCCAAAACTACTCAACGTCACTTTTTTAAAACTTCGGTGATTTTTCTGCTCAATGTGAAGAATGATCTGTGAAAATTTTAAGTCATAATTTTGGTCCAATCTTCTTTTATATGCGAAATTAACAGAGGAAATTGGGAAACTTCGTAGCCGAGATATGCATTTTTGCAGTTCCTTCATCACTATACATCTGCATCTGAATTTGTCAGTGAATTGATCATCCTCTTTCATAGCATCAGAAAAGGTTATCCCAATGTTATCGTACAGTACAGACTCAATTACCCAGGTAAAATGGAGAAATTTTATAGATATTTCAGGATTGATGTCAACTGTTATTGCTCAAATATCATCGTTCCTCTATTTTCTCTAATCTCAGCACATTTTAAGCACAAAACTTTTTAAGGATTGGTATTTTTGAGAAATTTTTGGTACATTAAATGATATATCTCTTCTTTCAATTTTAGGATACTTATTGGAACCTGACCCAGATAAAAGGCCTGACATATTTCAAGCTTCCTATGTTGCTTTCACAATAGCTGATAAGGAATGTCCCGTTCAAAATTTACATGTAAGTTCCTTGGTGCTTCCCATTTGAGTCTCTAGATTGAAGTGCTATTTCATGACCTGAATGTACCATTCAATTTTTTCGGTACATCAGTGTGAATTATTAATGGTTTGAATCCTAGATTTTTACCTTCAAATGTGAATCTGGATCCACAGCTGTTTCAGGAAACACTAAAGTTAGTTTCTGTGAAACTACAAAAATGTCAAGGAATTTTTAGTTTTCAAGTGCATTTTTTACTCCGTTGCTTCATTCCTGCCGATAAGGACTGTCTTACTGTCAAGCTGAGAAAATCACAGAAATTTTGAGAAGAAGCGATTAAACTTAGAACAATAATACTTGTCGATGACTAAGGCAGAGTACTGCCTATCTGCAAACTGACAATTGTACTGGACAAAGTAAAAACTCCGCAATTTTTTTTAATCTTGAGGTTAAGTCTGCAATTTTTTGTATACGTTGTAGCGTCATTATAGCGCTCCTATGCAAAATTAGAAAAAACTAATCAGTTTGCTCACTTCATACTGTAAAATGCAGCGAAGAACCTAACTCATTTACATCAAAATTGTCAGTCAGGTGGTACTGTTCCTTAGCCACTAGATATAGTGAACTCCTTCTGAATCTCCTGACTACAGTTCAGAGAGATCTATTAAATGAAGTTTTTAAAACTTGTATAAACATTATTTGAGGACCCAAGTACCTTAAAAAGGTATTCCTATGGGAAATTTTCCAGTGTTTTTATATGCTGCTAATGACTTGAACTATTTCAGAAATCTCCTGTGCCGGATGTCTCAAAACTCTCTCGCCCACTGATGGAATCAGAACTGAAGAGGCAGCAACCTGCAGTCACAAAACCTGTCGCTCCAAAACCGAACGTTGCTCTTCCTGTTGAGGGCACATCCGTGGCGCCGCGACAGCGTCCCAAACCTCTTTCCAACGTCGGCCTCCTGGGCACATCGCCAACACCGATCCTCTCCAAACGCAATACGAACCCTTTCCCAGCTCCTGTTGCAGCCTCAGTCGCAGCCCCAATAGCCTCTGCACCCCCATCTCAATCCCCCGAAACCATCCCTCCTCCGCTCACAACCGCTAACCCCCCTCCAGCCGTAGCCTTCCATACAACGTCTTTTCCGGCTACCACATCCACGACACTCTCTTCCAGCGCTCAAACCCTCCCTACAACCACTCAAGATGTTAATCAATTCTTCTCGTCAGGTATTATGTGTTCGTAACTCATTGCAAGTAACTTTATATGTATATTATAAGGTGGAAAGAATTATATCACTCTATTAATGGAGTGAATTAGGTTATTTTCTGTGGCATTCAAAAGATAATATTGCTGTTACTTTGAACAAACAAGGCGTCTGGAGGTTGGTGAAGTTTAAGAATAATGAAGAAATTTGTCCTTAGGCATGGAAGTATGAAAAATGTACAAGTGGCTAAAAATTTTCTATTTTACATGCATCATGGGAAGCTGCTGTCTGGAGCATCGTGTAATAGGCAGCTCAGCGAGTGCTTGACTATTAATTCGCTAAGACAACCCTTTTTTGAGTGTTATGGCAACAAGTTTAGATTATAGCTGCCGAAAAGTACTCAAAAATCATTATTCAATTTCTCACCAAGAGAGAGCCACTTAATTTTTTCCCAAAGTAAAAAAAAAAAACACTGAAAAAGATCTAAAATTTTGCAAAAGGATCCTAGTTGGCTTTGTGGACTGTGAAACTTAATATTTTAACAGTTCATCAGTTTCAATGGACCACAGAACTGTTAGTTTTGCGACGATGGCTAATCTTGTTGTTTTCATGCTTAAAGCAGTTGCTGTAAAATCAAGCTATTTTCCATAAAAAGTGTATCCTGAATGCCATCTATTTCAATGAGTGACTTCAATCAATGAGTATCGGGTACATTTGGAGTTGTTCACAGTTGATTTTTGCAAGTCTACTTTGAATGTATAAAGGTCAAAAATACAAGGAAAGTGCACATTATCTCTAATTTTCTGTACGAAATTCCGCCTGTCATTAACATAGTTACCCACAGGAAATGACTCAACATGATTTTTAATTTCTTTTTCTAAATTAAGGTGAAAACTGCCTAATATCCTAGCAGGGTTGTATCCAAGAAAATTAATCCTATTTTTTCATGTCTACTTATTTCATTTCATATCGTTCTCTGTCTGATGTAGGCTACCCGGATCCCTTCAGAGAAGAGCCCTCTGCTGCAGAAACAGCAGACTCGATCAGCAAGCTGACCCCACCCAGTTCCCCGTCAGTAGCGCAGATAAAATCATCCTCGCATCGGCGAAACGTTAGCGATACCTCTGCATTCAACAAGTAAGTGAACTCTTGCAAATAAAGTTCAAGCTCAGTTATGAATGATGTAGAGTATTCCTAATAGAAAATAATGACGAGAATATTTGGCTTCAACTAGTAACATACAATAATTACTCAAATGTGCCAAAGAATGCTTGGAGTTGAGAGCACCACTTTGTGCATGGAATGCTGATGAAAAACAAAATTTTTAGGACAATTTCAAAATCATAAGAAATTAACCCTTTTTTCCGTGCTCGTCAGTAAATTTTCTAAAGGAAAAGGCAGGAAATTTCTGTCATTTTAATGAAGGATCGGTTCATGTGCGCAAAAATTTTCAAAATCCTAGATGTTACTTGCAATCAGGTGTTTTTGCCATTAGGCATTTCCAATTTGTTTTGCTGAGAAATTAGGTGAATGCATCAAAGTGATGAAGGAAAAAGGTCATTGTTTTTTAAAACTGTAGATTTACCAGCATCCACAGTTTGGCAGCTGGAACATATTTTGCATCTTTTCAAGAGTTTTGAAATTAGAAAAATTAAATTCAGGAAATGGGAGAATCCCCCATTTTTGTTAATATTTTATACAGATCTCTGACATTTTTTCGGTTTCATCCACATATTTGACCTCCAAGAATCCATTGCAGCTGTCAGCAAAAATTATCTTCAAAATGTTCACCAGAATTCGATCAATCAGTGGACGCCTTCTAGGCCAGTGATCGGATTGACTGCCGTTTTTTTTTTTTTTTGGTGTGTGTGTGTGTACAAAACTTGAGTAAATTCTTCATCTGAATCGGCCAGTTACAAGTTAATCTAGTGTAATCAAACGCAAATTTTCGGTGAATTTACTGTTGTCAGTTTAAAGAGTTCTTGCTAACTTGATTATTGTCTGTTGCTCCAGAGTATTTGCAAATGAAACTAGTCAATTTTTGGCTCCGTACGAAGCGTCGGTCAAATCGAATTCGCCTCCTTCGGAACCAGGAACGGTCAATTCAAACGAATTGAAACCAGCAACCACCATGGGCACATCCGTATCTCATGTAAGCATCCAACTGATCTGATCAGTAAAAAATAATATTTATTAAACTCATTTACTTCAAAAGATCAAAACTCCAAAAACGAAAGCAAAGAGAGGAATTAAAAGCTGAAAAATAAATGGCTTTACATGATCGCCCTCAGAAAAAAAAGCCTCAGTTCACGAGGTAAAATTTTCAGTCAAGCGATTTGTCTTAAGTTGGGTTGAGAAATTGGATTTTGAGCTTTTGATGAAAAACTCTCTGATTTTGTGAATTGGGATTAAAAAGTCTGTATCAAAGCTTGAATTTCATTTTTAACTTGTAATTATTTTAAGTTCAAACAACCGCCTTAACCAGTAATCCTACGCAAAGCTTTACTCGCTATTACTAGAAGTTGAAAAAGGGTTGAAGTATTTTATTTTATTAAAGTAGGGCTTTTCCTTTCTCTCTCTCAGCAAAGTCTCATGATTTTATCTCCTTTTGTCCCTTTACAGAGTGAATTACCAAAGACAAACCGACAAGTTGGTGAAAGTGGCCGCTCTGTTTCAACGGAAATGACCCACTGGAATCCGTTTGAAGATTCGTCCGATTTCACGCAATTATCGGAGGATCATCTTTTTGGTGCTGAATTCGATAGGATCCAAAGAGGGTCTCAATCTAGTAAGTATGCGATGATTTTTTTTTTTTGTTCATAAAAATGAGGCTTTTTATAATTTTTAGTTCGTCTATAGTTTACGTCTATAGCATTTTTACTCATTGTTGTATAGTATTTAATCTCTTGCAATTTTGAAATCAATCCAGTTAAGGAGAAAATTCGTTCAACAGGTTTCTTCTGCCAGTGAAAACCAAAAAATACCCCGAAATTCGATATCATCAGAAATAATCAGAAAAATATATGGAAAAGTGGTCATGGATCAAGAGATTCTGAGTGCTCTAAGCATTTTCAAACATTTGATTTAGTTCATTAAATGAATTTGTCAGTTTTTGAAATCAAACGACTGTCAATGCATCAGTTGTGCTGCTCACAGAATCGTGTATTGATGCTTGATTCTTGTAGATCAACCAAAAATAAAGTACCACTTGTCCAAACAGCAACTTTCTACGTTTCTATGTCCTTTGGTTTATACAAACGAACTAAATGGTCACTAAATGAATTTTTCGAAGCGCAATATCTCAGTGAATATTGAACGTAGAGCGTTGCTGTTTGAACTGATTTTATTATTTTTTGCTAATTTACAAAACTCAAGCATCAAAACACAATTCTGTGACCAGCGCAACTGACTTATTTATTCGCGCCTAAAATCAGGAAAATTTCACTTAAAATATCAGAAAAATCCAAAATGAAATTTTAGTTGACACCCTGTTTGAGTTTCATTCAAAATTTGTGTGAGGAAAGAAAAATACTCTCTGACCTGTGAAGGTACAAAAAAGATGAAGAAGGAGACCCTGTCTGTTGTTTAACGACACATCATCATTTTTTGTATTTTTTCCCCTTGTTAGGTATGGTCAAATATTTTGATATTCGAATATTTGATATTCGAATATTTGATATTCGAATCATCGGCACCGAGATAATCACATCACATTCGAATATTTGCTTCCGAAGTATTCGAAATCACAAATTCGAATAATCACATTTAAAAGTGTCATTTTATCTCTCACGGTTCACAAAAAAATCAAAAAACGAAGCAATAATCGGAAATATTCGAATATTCGCTTCCGAACTATTCGCAATCGCAAGATTCAAATTCTCAAATAATCGCAATAATCGCATTCGAAAAGTTTTGAATTCGATATTCGTCCATCCCTAGTCTCTGTAACAATTCTCTAGTGCTTTTTAACAGCACCCATTTATTCACTTCCTTTTCTGCTTCCAGGTGTTACGAATGTAAAGAGTCATGAAAGTCTAGTCGCAAACTATGATCCCGGGAGTGCAAATAATAGTACAGAAGACCCTTTTAGTAGTGCTCCTTTCAATGTCCCAGGTAAGGAAAACCATCGAAGCCTTCATCTCTGGTCCAATAGCTGTGTTTTGAGTTTTCACTGAAGTATTTTCATCTTATTTTATTGAACTTGAAAACTGTCTGTTCACCAAAAATTTCCTCTTCGGAAGAAATAGAGTGAAGTTGTAGAGGCAATGCCAGACTCAAACAACGTTGCTGTATTTCGTCTCGTAAAAATCAAAACAAGCTTGAATATTTCAAGTGTGAAGAGACAGCCATATCATATGCTTCCTCTTTTAAATTATCGGAGGGTGTCAGAAGCTTTCCACAATCGGTCTTGAAAGTCTAGGAATTTCGTTTCTCCGTTTTTATGATACCCTGCTTAAAAACACGCCGAATAATTTTGCGGCGCAAGTCCAAAGGATGTCCATAAATTATGCCAGGCGCCAAGTCAGGGGAAGGGAGAAGGTCTATAGGTGTCTGACGAGGAGGAAGGAGGCTTAAACCAATGTTTAGTTTGGTGAAATTTTAAAGGCCGCAAAGAGGGAGGTCAAAAATTGCTTGACCTGTGCCAAAATCCAAAAGGGGTCTGAACTTGTCAATGAAAAGGTAGTTTAACACGTTCATTTTATTGTTAATTTCAGTCACTTTCTGAATTTCATCAGGGTAACATTTAATGCGATCTGCTTTTTTTCAGGGTCCAAAAATAACACCAAAGACAGGCAACAGCAACTGTCCAGCAAGAAACCTCCGCCAGGTGAGTTTGCGTTCAAATATTAGGAAAAATGCACTCGTATCCAAACATGCAGATTTTCTTTGCAGTAGAAATTGCTCTCTTCAAAACTCAAAACTATCAACCGTTCACAGCAGCAAACTTTTCTTTTCTCTCTTATTGTAAGGTGTGCTAATGTGAGTCAATATTTTTGCAGCAATGAAAACTATCCGTAATTTTTTCTGCTACCTCCTCAAAATTTAATCCTAGACCGATTATTCCGTTTTTGAAGTGATCAATTTTCCAAGCCTGAATAACAGGCTGGGTTTATTTTTACTCGCATACCTAATTGAGCGACTGACAGGTTCTCAAAATTCTGCAGGAGCTTCCAGCTCCATGTTTAAGAAGTCATCTTTGATCTGTTTCCCCTTAAAAATAAACTGATCCTCTGGATCTCATGCAGAAGGTTCTTGTTCTTCAATCATTCCCATGAATTATCTCGGATGAAATAGATTTTCAAAAAACCTTCTTTTGAGAGCTTTCATTTCAAGTATGGTTTCACAGTTTTGAGTTTTTTTAACTTCCCTTGTTACTAGCTAATTAACATAGAGATGAATATTTCTTTGTTTTCCTTCTTCTTTTTCACATTTTTTAGACTGTTTGAGAGTTTTTTCGCCTTTTTATAAGACAAGTACACCTTCTTAATTTTTTTTTTTTTTTTTTTTTCAAACCCAAATTTGTGTGCCTTAACTTGTATGTTTGGTATACAGAATTAGCAGTCGGCTATTTCGTATTGTGAGCACTTATAACATGCATTCTTGTATGTGTAGCTACTTAGTTCCATCATGTATATTTTTAGTGGTTTGCTCTTGGTGTGCAACAGGCTTTAAATAAATCGCTTGTCTTCAATGAATATCTGAGAATCAATTTCTTTCAGAAAGGTGGAAGTTGATTGTTCTGTTTCAAAACTTGCATGCAAAATTTTATTACATTGCAAGCGCCCCATGCAAGAAATATCTCTAGAGATTTCTGCGTTTCTCACAAATAGTATAAAGGAAAATCATCAAAATTTTTTTCTCACTGGACTTTGGCTCCTCTCTGATTGAATTAATTGTAACAGATAATTTTGAAATATTGATGAACCCATGTGTTTCTTTAAGAAATTGATTCTAATATTCTATCTCTCATCTTTTTTTTTCTTCCTCTTAAAACTTCTCTATGAATCATATGCGCCAAAGCTGTCATTGGATCCAATTTTTAATGCTCTCAAGTAGTTTTTCAAGCTTCTGGAGCAATTAATTCTCATTAATTAACGAAAAATTATTGAAACCGAAACTTTTATCTTCCCACCAACATCGCTGAAACTTCTCTATGTTTTCTGCGACTCAAAAGAATTTTCTACCTACAGACTTCGTTTGATGAAATTTTGTACCAGTAGTTTCAAACAGGTCGTTTGCAAGGCTGCAACACTAGGAAAGATTAGATTGAAAACGTATTTAATGTCTAAAAATTCCCTAAAAGAGGTTAGATTTTTTTTCTCTCTAAATTTGTCTTTCAGTCTCACCAGTTTTCTTAGTGATCCCATTAATTGAAAATTTGATGAAGAACCTGGCGGTAATTTTTGAAGTCAACCACCGAAATCACCTACTGGTTGATCTTGGTTACTTGGAAGAGTATCATTGTTTGAGAAAGTCAAAGAAATTGCATTACGTTGGACAGGTGAAACCTCAGAAATTGAAGAAATTGTTTTTCTGTAAAAATCCTGAGATTCCTCGGTTCAACTTTTCAGAAATCCTAAGATGGTTTTTAAAAATCTTCAAGCATTTAGCTCCAGTGAAACTTAGCGGAGGATCACTGAGAATCATATTCATACTTTACTAAGATGCGCAAATATTTAAAGTTAGAAAACTCGAATTTCTCAAGTTATGCTTTAATCTTAAAACTGCTCGTTTTCTTCTCCTACCCGCAAGTTAGGTCAGTCATTTGCATGAAAAAGCAAGACTAAATTCACTCTAATTGCAATCTTTTCCAAACGGTTTATCGAAGATTCGGGTGAAAATGCATTTGTCAAAGATTATTTTGTGAATTCTCTGCTGCAAACTGGTGTATTGGCTTGAGATTGCTTTCATACACTTTTTGGATTTGAGGCTTTGAATATTCTTTGCATCAGAGTGAATCGCAGGCAGCCTCTAATACAACCCGGCCAGCCTCAGCAATGCTGAGTCAGCATGCTTTATAAGTCAGCATGGACTCATGAGTAAGACATCTGCACAATGTTTGTCAAGTTAACGGTGAAACTCTTAATTTTTGGTGCCTCTTTTGGTCCAGTTACACGATCAAATTGAGCCATCAAATTGAAGCTCTGATTGGTGGAAAAAGACGTGAGGTGAGGATGCGACCAATGAGAGGCCCAATTTGATGGCTCAATTTGATCGTGTAACTGGACCTTTTGATGTACACTTACAGAATGCGACCGTTTAGTCTCCTTTATAAAGAAAGTAAGAAAATATTATGATTTTAAAAAAAGTCATGAAGTATTGTAAGAAGATGAAATACTCTATCAAAGGTGCCTGCAAAAAATCATATCTGTGGAAGAGTACATGAAACAAAAATATTTTTTTTTCATTGAATTATTTCTATCAAACTGAATTTCATCTCATTATAGAAGAATAATTTTTGAATGGATCCACGGCAAAGTATTTCAGCCCTTTCCATTTATCAAAATATATCTATTCGAGGAAGCTAAAAATAGCCCTATAAAGCATGAAAAGCTGTGGGGGAGTATTGGAGCATTATGTAACGTATTTATGGATGGGGGCTTAGGGCTATGTATTGACTGAAATTCAGCATTTCATAATAATCCATGTTTACGAAGTTGTTCTATTTTTTAAGGGAAAGTATAATTTTGGGCGGAAGTTAAACAACTGTTAAAAATTACAAGAAAGAATAAGAGTTCTGTTCATATTCAATGATTCACGCACGGAAATCCAGGTTTGCTGTACGATTGTGTTTCATGAAAGAAGGGAATAAAATTCATTACATAATTCTTGAGTGCTCCCTTAAGCTTTTGACCCTAATAATTGTGCGCAGGGAATTAAACTGTGCCAAAATATGAGCAAATCTATTTTAAAATATATCAATTCATTAGATCTGAAGAGATGATGTGCAGAAGAAGAAATAAAAGAAAATGTTAACCTTGGTGTTCCATTGTAATTCATCTCATATCGAATGCGAACTGTGCAACCCAGAAACGTAAGCTAGCTGGCTTTTATTCGATTATTCCAACTGATGAACCATGAGTTGTCAAAGAACAAATAAACCATAGAAGCTACAGAAAATGAACTTAACAGAAACATGAATACAATCATGGTAGCAATGATTGTGCAACGAATTTTTACGTTGTTGTTGCGCTTTCTAAAGCCACTTTTCCGTTGCAGGTGTCTAAGAGCATTCTGATGCGTGGGCATGGCCGTGCTGTCTTCCTTTCTCTTCCTTCCACCCCTTGCTGCGAACTTGCGATTCACTCTGTGAGGCGCCTTAATTAAGTCTTGACTCTTCTCTCAACCGTAGTTATCTTCAGGGATTTATGTAGCAATTAACGCTTCCTAGAATTCTCTCCACATTGCCCTTAAGGTCAAATTGTGCCCTTTCATTGCCATGGAGCCCTATCTGAACAGTCGATTCGGTTTATCTCTGACCATTTGTAGCCCAAGGTTTCAAGCTCTTGGGATTAAAATTGGATCCAAACAGTGACATGACCTCAAGGTGGTTTGTAATATTCTGCCGCGCTAAGGTAAAACGCTGTATGAGCCTTCAGGCGTTGCCAAATTTCCTCCGTTAAAAAATGAACTTATTGGGAAAGTTGTAAATATTTTTTTCCCAATGTTTTAGAAAATTTTGTTCGTAATTCAATCTAAAATATCTGAAAATGTTGAGGAAAAATATGCATAACTTTCTTCCAAAATACATTTTTTATCATATGTGGACACATGCGAATGTTCATACAGCATTTTTCCTTAGCACGGCAGTATTGCAGAGGGGTGCTTTTAATTCTCCATAGTTTCTTAAATGGTAACTGTAGAGTGCACAACCATGACAAGCCTCTCTCACGTTTAGGCTTGTTCCGGTGAGTTTTAGGCAAGTTGATAAGGCTCCATTTAAATAGGTTAGGTAATGTTATATTTTGGATAAAATTGCGATAAACGTCTCAACGCTGCAAACAACATACATGGTTTGGGAGTTTTACCGCCGATGTGTTATCTGTAATGCAATTGAAAGGGTACATCTCAATCAGAAATACCAAACGTAGATTTTAATAGCCTCTTCCATTGAAATTAAAATTAATCACAACTTCTATAGTTAGTCATGGATTAATTGCTTTCTGTACTTGTAAGTTTACAAAAATAAGAATTGATTATCGAAACCAAAATATCATCTCATCTTAATCTGCGCATCTTTATGTATTGTCTTAAGCACTTTAATTTCTCTCGATCATCAATTAAATGCTGGAGAGCAAAGGTAAATCAGAAACGTAAGAGTCAAATCGTAGAAAATGTGAAGTGGAAGGAAATTGCCCTCATCTTTATTTTTTCAAAAGTATTATGTATTTTTCAGTTTATTTTTATTAACCTCTTCTTTAAAAAAGTAAGCTATGCTGTATCAGTTCTTGAACACCTTTAGTTTTTGTCTATGTTCTCTCTGAACCAAAAAAAGTATCCTTAAAATCACACCTAATTGAACAGAATATTTGAGATATTGAAAAATTGCTCAAGCTCTCATCAGTGCGCTCCTTAAAAAAATCTCCCATTTCCTCAGGGAATGTCTGATTTTCTAAGAGCGCTAATACAGAATTCTTGTCAAAATTGTTTTGATTCTCTCTCCAGATTCAATTCAATGCATGTAAAATCACAAAAAAGGGTGCCAACATTTAGATTATGAAAATATTAATTGAAAACGGACATCTTTCTCCTGGTAAAAATGGGAAAACCTATGATAGCACAGTACTCTCTCTCTCTCTCTATAATGACACCAGTTTTAACAAACAT